GCTAAATTCAGCCTGACTATCCAGGATGTTCTCCCTAACCTACGAATCTGCGGGTCAAAATGAAATCTTGGGAGATTCAACTGGATTCCCCTTTTCATTTCGAGCTTTTCTGGCCACGACCTGATGATTCTCCCACAAAGATTTAAAATTAAGAAAAAAGTAGCTAGAATCAAGGGACATCCGACCAAATGATCACCGCCCCTCTGACTAGGCAGAAATTCCGACTTTTGACATCCTAGAAAGAGTGTTGTAGCTGTTTGGCCACAGTTTGGCTCGTCTGGGAGGATAAAAGCACTGACTTGTACATCGGCTGGCCACCGCAAGTTATTGTATAGGCCACATAGGCATTCAATACGCCACTACAATTCTGAATGGAAGTCGATTGCAGTGTGCATTCCTCAGACGGGATTGATAAATGCCCCAAGACTATCCTTTTATCGTTTGGCCACAGTTTACCATCTGGGTCGACGGGGACGAATGCTTCTCGAAAGTCCTGATGCCCCAGTAACCGTGAGACTGGTGTCCATAGTACAACTCCTTTGACTTGAAATAATTTAATTCTCTTCATGATCCATTTGAAGCTGTGGGTACACTTTTGAGATTGAATTATTGCAAAATAAAGCAGGCTAATTAATTACAATCGGTACCATTCCGTCACTGTGTAGAAATGGCTGCAACTAAGTTATAAACGTAATGCATGAATAGAAAACTGAACAGGAGGACTTCAGTAATCTTTGCTGTTCACAGAGGGCAGCCCTCCTTCTTTGCCTCTGAGAAAGCGATGATGGTAGATAAGCTCTTGACTAAGTAGCCATGACTTTTCGAAACTGATGTCCATATGTCAGTTCCAAAACTTTTTCAGTACTTTCCCATTTTTCCTTTTTTTATCGCCAATTCTCAAAACGATCAGTTGTTCTACCCATGATATTCCCTAGACGATTACATCAAAAGTAACATCAACATCAACAACGTTTTGTTTTCCAAAGTTTCCTATTCCTAACTCATATGGGTGATATCGCCAGATCTCTCATAGTACTACTAATTCCAGCCGCCTTTGTCAGATATTGCGCATTATTAGTAGTAAGTTATCGGCGGTTTTGATAAATAGAAAAAGTCTCAGGGGATTGGCATCAGTCGTCGTGTGGGTGAGCTGAGAGCAGATAGAGTGACACATGGAACGGGCATAACAGAGATGGAAACGTCGTGGAATTGATAGCTCGAGAAAGACTTACACCCCATGAGCAGGTCAATCTGGAAGAGCCCACTTCGCTATCAGTTACAGCCTTTGAAATTTCACCCCCTCCTGTTTGTCTTTACTCAAGTGTTTTCCGTTCGTGTGTACTTGGATGACGAGGAATGTATCCATGGGTGCAAATCTAGGGCAAATTTTGGTAAAAGCCGCCGAGAAAATGAAATCTCCGTCTCGATCCATTTCATCCTTACCCCCAGGGCTTTGACTCGAATATCTTAGCTATGTGTGGGTAGCTTTCCGAGTAGTGAACAGGAAATCCGTCATCAAAATGCAAATGAGGACGATGTCAGACGGGCGGCACCCGTTGACAAAGTGGCTGACTGGTTGGTGACGGCTGGCTGATTTTCTGGTCCGTCGCTATAATATCACAAACAGAAACTAGTTAGTTAAAACAAACCCATTGCTGGGGAGCATCTACACAAATGAAGGGGACGAGTAGTAAGAAAAAGGCGGCGCTGGGAGATGCGCTCTCTTGGGATCGGATCCCGCTTAAGCCTTAACCCAGTTCTGAAGATGGGCTGTTGAAGGACAAGCCCAATTGAGAGCATGATAGCATGAACTTGAATTTAAATGACTGCCTTTCCGATGCAGAGATCATGTGTAGGACGAGAACATATCTAAATACTTCCGTATTTCCAAGTTCAGGCCGGATGCATGGCGGTTTCTGGCAAGGATAAAAAATTTCGACCGCTTTCTGCTCTCTTCTTTGTGGCCTCATGTTAAAACCTCTATATTTCTTGAGTTTAAGCATTTCAGAGCCGAGAACGTTATACAAGATTCAGGTCTTTTCGTTTAACCGAAGCGTTCTTGCAACATAAGGAAGGGAAGGGCAGGCTAGGATTCCCAAATGGCGAGTTCTTACTGAACCGATGCAGTCTCAAAGGTTCAAGCGTCAATTACATATGGGCGATAACGGCTCCGAAACATGCAAAAAGAGCAATTGGCTGGACAGCTAATGTCTTGACTTCTTCCTCCAATTGAAGTTTTTCGACATCCCTCCTTTTAGGGAACTTTGACTTGTTACAATCCCACTGGGAACTTCTATGAATGAGAATTGGGAGCGGTCTATTGTCCAATATTGAGCCAAGAATCAGACAATGTTGATCCGAAAGAACCGCTATTTCAATGGTCTTTTATTGAAGTGTTGAAAGACATTTTGCGGAGTAATTTTGCAGCGAAGTAGTTCGAAAGCAATTTTACTTCTTCAATGTTCCGAGTTCAAACTACTTGAGCCCTGAGTCTGCTTTTTTTCCATGACACACATCAGTGAGAGTTTTCTCATTAGGATGTAAATGGATGTTCAGGAATCATGCGAAACTCTTTCTGTCCAGGAACAGATGTCAATGAAGCTTCTTTTTCTTAGCTAATTTAGTCTTCATTGGGAAAGAGCGTAGGCAACAGGGTAGCTCTTGCTTAGCTTAATAACTGACAATAAGATTATTCGTTCTGTCAAGTTGGACGACTACTCTGAACTATATCTCTCTTTTTTTTTGGACTTGTCGCTTTCAATCTCATTTTGTGACTAATTTTTGCCAAAAACATTCCCCATATCTATTTGGTATAAGGGAAATTCGGACATGTTGGAAGTTTGACCACAGAAGAAGAGAAACGCTGAAGAGGAGAGTCCTCACCTATCAACACCTATTCATGCTCTTAAAAGGGTCTTTATTTCACTACATATCTTCTACCCCTTAACTGAAAGCCCTCCCCATTTTCAACGGTAATGGCAATCAGCTGCAGAAAAGCTGCAAAGTGACGGGAGGCTCAATCGAAAACTGTAATGCACAGAAACCCTCTGCATCTCCAACCTTTTTTTTTGATCGTCTATAGTGTTGCCACTTTTACTGTGAGGAATTTTCTTTGTAAATATTTCGGAGGCGTAACTGGTACCTTCTAGCAATTCGTATAGTTTAGTAGCGTTGGCTAGCTGAAATGGAACGGCCACTTTGAGGAAGGAAAAAGTGGCTTGATAAATGAACACTTGCAGTGTGTTCGTTAATAGAAGATCTATGCGAACTTCACTTGAAAGAAAGATCGTTCACCGGGAAAAACCAGCAGCTATTCGAACCTCGAATACCCTTGAGATGACTGCCTAAGTGTGTGTGGGGGAAGTGGTCTTCGAACTTGGGAACCAGCCATGATTCCAGCGACCTCGATTTAGCACCTGGCCGAATGCGATCAACTCTGCGGGAATCTAAATCCTATTCTTTGTATTCTCCATGCTTGAATCGTCGAAAAATACGAAGCACAGTCTTGAATCCGATTTGCTGATGACCTTTTATTTGGGTTTAGAGGACCTTTTCGAACAAAAAGGAGAAGCGGGTTGGTCTTAAGCTCCCGGCAGCTGTTTTCTGAATTCCATCTGTACTCATTCGGTTTCAAATGGAATTTTGAGCGACGAAGTGTTTGTAACCTACAGATTCACTTATTGGATTGGATTATGAACAAGTTGGTGGTCTCTCGGCCATTGTGTTCGGTGCCAATTCGTGTACCCCATAGTCAAGAGGGACAGTTCCGGCAGAGAGCAGCGGCATTGGCTTTGACGCAGATACGATTCAGTTTAGGAGTCACTCTGAAGGGCCACTCGCTATTCACTCTGTCCAAGGGCTTCAACGGTTTAGTGCATTTTTTGAGAAATTTTCTGTGAATTGGATTTGCAGTGTAATTCAGGTGACACAGTGGAAAGTACTGTCTGAACCGTCAATCTTTCATGTCTCACAGATGCAGTGAAGAGTATTTTTGCCAACTTTTCACTGATGCTCAGGAGCGTAACCCGTGACTGGGCGTGACCTGCAATGCAAGATAACCCCTTTGAGCCCCCATCATTTTTTTTTTCTGGAAAATGTGGGCGAGTATTTAAGGAGCTGAAGATATATGTTACCATATCGTACGAGTGCTGTTCTGGTAGTAAGTGTAGCTAAGACTTAAAACCCCTTCTTTAAAGTCCTTGAATTTCAGGCCATGCTGTGTCGGATGAGATACTGTCGTGTCTGCGGCAAGAGCGAGCAAAATTGGAAAATCCTGTACAGAATGTGGTTACGGTAACAGCACAAGAGCCTGCCTACTTACATTGCCGGATACCACAACGAACAAATCACATGGTAAAGTTGAAGTTGTTCGATAGGTATTTGCTTTCTTATATTACGTGCACGAACATAGCGCAACGGCTAATATGTAGTGTTTCCTCAGAATTACATATATGGGATCAAGTCCTTGCGTTCTGCGGAAAGTTCGCCAAGGCGGATCCTCATCCAAAAATTTGTTTGAATTCGAATTTTCTACGGGAGTTTAGCCGAAATCGCAATATTCCAAACTTTGATTGCAAACAGCCCTCGGCTGAGATCGCTTTGAACTATGGATGCTCATGAGGATGATTACGAGAATCTATAGTTTTTAAGCAAATTAAATCGTCCAATGATTACTTCCAACGTATCGAAGCCATCACAATATTGACTTGCCCTCAGTTAAATTAAAACCCGCCGATCGATTGGGGATCGATCGATAATTCCTAGCTTACGACGGTAATCCTTCGTCATGCCGCATCATTTACAAGTGGCACAATTGAGATAATGAGGCGATGGAGGAGCCAAATGGGGCGGATGGGATTCCTTTGATGGCAAGATAGGCTTGAAATCGTTGGCAAGGCACAAATTTGGGCGGTGTCCTTTGTGGGATTTGCTCCCAAATGTATTTAACAAAAGTAGACCTGGAGGAGATTGTAAGCTTTGTCTACGTGAGCAGGATTCCATGTAGGGGGGGGGGGGGGGGGGGGGGGNGGGGAAATGGGCTTGATATGAGAACTGTGTGCGATTGCGGCCCCGAAATGATGAGTATTAAACCCGAACATTTTTTCATTTTTCCCTGTATTGGCGTCTCAGTCCCTCCTTGGGGAGCTATCATAGCCTTATACAGGAACTGAGATTCTCCAAAACTTCATTTGTTTAGGTAGCATGGACAAGAGCTTCCGATCAGGCACTGCTTACTGCCGGTCACCATTCATTCACTTCCGATCCACGATTTCAAGTGTCAAAGAAATCCGACACCGACTGGATACTCATATTGAGGTCTGTTTTGTTGTTGTTTACGTGATTGGTTATCTGTCTGTCAGCTAAGTGCTGCTTTTGTTAGACTAACACATCTGACTTGCGCTTGCTCGCGTCGAATGTCAACATCCAAAGCGTTAAGCGTCAAACTTGCCCGTATTGGCAGCAAAAACGGACTTTGATTTCCGGGAATCGCTTTAAGAACTTAGTTTTGGAAGTAGTGGAGGGATATTTTTCATGTTTGGAGGCGGTTCTGGTGACTATTTTCGAAAAATTGTTCGTCCGAATCTTACTGTTTGCATTCATTATATCGCACTCTCTCGTGTCCGGTTTTCATTGAGACTGTTTGCTCCGGCGTTCTTCAGGGCACAGAAAAAGGTCAGATCACTGATTAAGTCATTGATTACTGGAAACAAATCACTTAGAAATTGTTTTCCTTCGAGGGTTTCTTTTTTATGGAACGTCGAAGTAGCACAGCGTGGGAAGTGGTGGTAGGTGTTAGTTGTTCTGTTATAGATGTTAGTAAAAATGATATGTTACGACACTTGGTTAGATCGGTCATCATCCAAACATCTCCACGATTCTGAGTTTTATCAGGTTGCGAGGCGCGTCCTTGAATGCTCCGGTTAGAGATCTCCTGTGAGCCTTGAGATCCAGATGGAATGCAGTCGATGATACCTTGGAGCTGCGAACGGGTCAACCAGATCTACCCATTAGGCCCTATTTATTCAACATATCGCTTAAAGTGGGATCAGATACCGTATCCTGATCGAATTCATGAAAACCGATACTGGCCACCTGTTGTCCCATGCGTGCGTGAAAGGCTCAATGGGAATGTTTCTTAATGGTGAGGTGGGAAGCTGTTTGAAGGATCCCCACCAAATTTGTGTTCGATTGTTTGGATGGGAGTTGTACTGTGTGAGGCGGATTTGTTGAAGTGTTGTTGTTGTTGTTGTTGCTGCTGCTGCTGCTCTTGCTGTTGTTGTTGCTGCTGCTGCTTTATGAGCGGCAATACTCACATGTATGTAGGCTTTTTTAATGACCGACTTTCTGGGAAGTTTTGAGTGGAACAATTCTGTAAGGTTTTTGGATGCACGGATTATCTTGGAAATGCCAGGCTCTGTCTTCGTAGAGTGTCCTTTTTGGAGTTTCCCTAACACTCTTTCATTTCAAATGATTTTTCCATTGAATGGCCGAGATGCAGTGTGCCTGAGTTTCCTGCAGGTAAAGTCCGGCCATAATTAACTATCATCAGCCTGGCCTAGCAGCTCGTTGACGATTTGTTGGTACGTAGCGTAGTGTCATTCCGGACGGCTGACGCTAATGGGATATATGGGCCAGGTTGGCCTGCACACACAC